TACAGAAAGTGGCTTCAAGGTGATCGACTTTTCAATGGTGTCGAAAACTGAGCCGCCTTACGGAGAGGCATAACCACCGAGGGATTTTAAAGGCTTAATAATTGCTATAGCAGAAGAAAAAGCCTCACAGCATATCTGCCCCGAAATAGTTTTTAAGAAGTTATTTTGTCAAGACGCAACGAAGGAGATAACGACGCAAGCATCAGAAAATCGAGCCGCAATTAGAAGTAAAATTATTGGACGGAAAAATTGCTTCAAAGTTAGCAAAAGATACAATCAGATGCTTGCAGGCGTAAGGTGGTGAAATTCACGAGATGTAACAAAAGTACGAGACTTAGAAGTCCAGGCCTACTGTCTACGTGGCCTTGGAAGGCAGTCGATTTGGAAGGATTTGAAGTCAACCTCGTACTCTTTGGTTTCACCGATTCGCTTTTTCCCCACCAAATGACAGAAGATGCATCCCTGAGATTCCACCGTAGAACAGGTAGAACAGGCCGGAAGGTTTTAATCAAGTGCGTGTTACTACATCCCGTAAGGGAGAGAGAATGACGTTGAATTCCACTCCTCGAATCCCTTCGGTGCGAGTTTGTGACAGAGGAGGTCGTGAGATTTAAGGCTACTCACTCTAGGGAGAACCGAAAGGCAGTGGCTGCAAATACTTGAGAAGACTGTCATTTTTTGGTGACAGCTAAAGTGAAGTCGCTCCTCCTTTTGGCCGCTTTTTAATGAAAAGGCTGCGAGATCTACTTAAACCACGCAAAGTGCCATTCAATGACAAGGCCGTAACCCGGCCTTTGTGAATCGAACCCTTTTGCCCGATTTACTACCAACACAAAGATTGGAAGAGTATTGGCACATTGGACATTTTGGAAGCCCTTGTCGATGCTAGGTGAAGGGCACAACCCAGTACTCCCATCAGACAGGCGAAAGGTGTTAGGCTCTCCAAAAGCGACCACTGTAGGTGGATAAACACACGCATCTCCTTCGAATCAGCTCAAAGAACGAAATGATTGACGATTGCTTAATCAAGTATGCTGTGCTATTATGACGGTTAACAGCTTGAAGAAGGCGATTCAAACCAAAAAATTGAGTCATGTCGTACGAGGGGAAAATCGGAGCCGATATTACAATAGAAGTGAGAGCAACTGCAGCATAAAGACCTGGGTTATCGTAATGCTCTAGACAACGGTGATGACGCTGAGGCAGCATGACTTCCTATTTGGAACCAGGTATGGACATTTTGGCACATTCGATATCAGGTTCCCGGGGGTAACATCGGTCATCACATCTTAGAAGCTCCCCCACCTCAGTAACAGAACCAACATTTGGATTGTCAAAGTGGTCACTTCAACTGATGATGCTCAAACGGTAGTTATTTTCAAAGAGGATCCGGCATCCACTTTATTGCTTCAAAATCAACCAATTTCTCCGCGACATACGAATTCGTACTAGTGATAAAGAGCACGTGTCACATTCACGGCGTTGATAGCAATGTTCCACGCTGAAATGATACATTCGAAATTAGACGACACGGCAGAGGGACGGCATTCACTTTGTCGTGTGACCGAACCACCAGCACGGCAGTCATGTGGAGTTGGATTGACAAAAAGAAAAACCAACCAAAAGGTACCATCAAGAACACGTCCAGCTGAAAGCCACATGACTCGGAGTCGCAGTTGAACGAATGAGGACGAGGTCAAAAATAGTAAACGCAAACAAGCACGAAAAACCCACACCACGGCTGTAGATGGGTTTCTAAATGGCATTTTGATTTCTACTGTTGGTCAAATCTGCCGCAAGTCAGCAAACCGAACGAAAGGTGGATCGCTTGACAAGTTTGTGAAAGTACGTTGTAGGCGAAAGTACTGCAGACCAATCCGACATAACCTATTTAAAAATAACATGTTCCCGAAATTTGGGAGTTGATCAAACTAGCCCTCGAGATGCGCCGCAAAAAAAGTGGTCTTGATTGTCCTTGACCAAAAGAAATTCGCATTGGGATGAACAACCATAATCATAAACACGGATGACGATTACAAAAGTGCATTTTAGCATAGATAGAGGGAAAAAAGAGAAGCAATGAAGCGGTACCGGCAGGACCTTAATCGCGGTTGGCACGATACCCTTCCATAAACCAACTAAGCGTGAGTGTTGATCAGACCCTTTACATTTTTAACAGACCGCTCTTTGGGTTCCGAGGACACATTCGGCGTCGAGTACCAGCAACAAGAAAGTGTTCCGTGATAAGAAGTGAACATCAAAAGTGTGATGGGTTGACTTTTGAAAAAGCGGCTGGTGACAGACAAAGTTAGTACGCAATGCACTTGCCAACTGACAATCAATTGATGGAAGCATAACGACATTGGGCGTTCGAAGACAGGCAGATTTACAACATTCCTTAAGGAAGGAAAACGAATGTCGGTCGCTGGGAGCGACTAGTGGACGACCATAGACAAGCCATTTGGTGTTGGCAAATTCAGAAGCCTTTTGGAGGTAGTACTATCATTGTTTTATGATTTTAGTTTAGTCCTGCAGTAAAATTTAGTGAAGGATTCCCAAAATCACTAAATCTGCGCATCAATGCAGGATAATTGGACGTAGACACTAGATGATTTGACTCAGGAGCTTCGGTACACTTCCAATGGGATTGACCACAGTCCGATTTGAAATATGGAAATCAGAAAAGAGTCGAAGACAGCCTCCAGCCTACCACGTTATGCCTCCACAGTTGTTTACGATATTCTGAGATTTACAAGAAACCTCAGGAGTAATCCAATCGCCAAAGAGGCAGTCATAAAGGAATGCTACCAAAATCCCCGCACTCTCCAAATGTGGAGAGAGGCGGTGTCAAAAAAGGCTTTTCTGAACTCCTTGTGCCGAAAATTAAATCTTTCGAGCAAGAAAATCGACAAAAAATTGCGATTTTACAAATAAACCAACTACGGATGGTATGTGCCGCCACAGTGCTGGCAATTACTCAGTTGCCTCCAAAATTCCAACGTCTCGCAAGCTTGGGTCGGAATAGACACTCCTTCCGAGAGCCCCCTTACAGAACATTCAACACTTGTCATGGACATTTTAAGGACAAGGGAAAAAGGAGACCGTTATGAAAGTAGCAAGTGGGATGACAAATTAGCTACCCGGACAGCTATGGAAGGAAGGCGCCTCCCATGAAACCCTGGTTTAGACCGTTTCAAGATCAACTGACCGGATTCTTTTCCGCAAATATCACCCACAGATTTCGAAAGCCTCAAAGGCGAGCCGAGGGCCGAAAGAGCAGGGATGTCCGATTTCTAAACACCGAATTCTAGGCATAAAAGAGTGCTCTGGGATTTCCTATTCAGACTAATCAAGTTATTTAAAAATTTCGATTGCTCCAAGTACAAGAATAAGGAAAAAAAGGTCAATTTATCGGGAACGTTAGTAAAAAAACATGGTCGATCAATCATTTGTCACGCCAATCTCAACAATAAAATCTACAAAAAAAAATGAGTTTCGGAATCTCCAATCAGAGAACAGGGTTTTGGGGAGATCGACAGGACTTTTTGGGAGGAAAATAGCCAAAACAGCCGCACACATCATCACCTGCGACTCAGAAGCTTCACTGGCGCTACAGCTGGAGCGGTTGATCATCTGCCAAGCTATTCAAACATCTTTAGTGCTTCACCTGGAATTCCTGATTCCAACTGCTCTTTTCACCTAAATACTTATCCTTACCCAGACTATCCAAACATCCGAAGGAAAAAGTGAGATAAAGTCCCGCCTTTGAAAGTCATACGCCCTACTTTCTTAAAAATCGGACGCGAAAGTTATTAAAATAGTTGAACTACGAAAGGATTGCCCTATGTCCACTATCATCCGGGGCCTAGAGCTGCTAAAACCGTGACTTAAGCATTGAGACAGCAGCTATATTTGAGTCAGTGGGATAAAACGCCCTTTGTAGTCCTTTCGTTAAAAAATACTATGTTTATTGAAGAATTTGGACCCTGTTGGACACAAAAAAAAACAGCCGAAACCGTACAGTTCTTGATTAATCGACTTGCAAGTAAGGTGATTTACGATTTAACGTAGCTTCGAAAATAACTCTAGCGGTACCACAAGGACGGATGTTGCTCCTCCGTTGAAGTAGATAGACATATTCAAACTGCGACCAAAATAAACATTTCCTTTGAAACTCCTCGCTTAAGAATTCAAATACCCAGTATGAGAAACTCGAGGTAAACAAGCTGAATGGAACGGGCCTTTGAAACCCTTTGCTCCGATTCGGCGGAGTTTTAAGAAGGCACGACATTACACAACCAGTGAACCAGGTGACTCACTGTCAAAAGTGTCGTCACCAACACTGCCGGAGTCGCGAATTCGTTTGAGTATCTCCAACACTCGGATATCTGCCGCCGTGTGATGAGGTGCAGGATCTAGCTCATCACGGACACGTCGTGGCTGGCCGGAGGGCTGCTGTTGAATCGGCGCCAGCTGACCGGATCCTGTTGCCGTGGTGGCCGCGACGGGTCCACCACCGACAGCCGTCGTCGTTGGCGTCACCTTGACATCGACACCTGTCACTGCGGATTTCGTCTCCTCACCTCTGAGCATTACAGCCTCAAAATTTGCAACACCTGTAGGGAAGAGGGGAGGGACGATAGTCCGGTTAGCACGTCGAACGAGAAGAATTGGATCCAATGATCGCTTGACATTCATGTGAACCGACGCATTGGGGGCGAGTGCGCAACCGGTACCGATTGGGTAACGAGTGCATTGGTTAAAAGCTACTAGATCGGATGAATCGAGCAAAATCAAGAGGAGAGCAGGGAAGACTTTGATGGGATAAAAAAAGCTGGATGAAATGAGTTTTGTGCGATGTGGATGCACAAGATTTGCATTAAATTCAGTGAAATTTTAGGAGATGAACATCGAATAGAGAGTAAGTTCAAGGCATCTGGTTCAGAAAAAAAATGTGAGGAAACGGTTGTGAGAATGCAAAGGACAAGCTGATGAAATCAAGTACCAAATCAAGCAGTGCTCTAGAGTTAATCTGTCTCTACTGATTAGATGAGGCGGTGGGCCAATCAAAACGAAAACCTTAACGAAACGAAAAACTTAAAATCGCAGAATTCTGGAATGAACAGGCATGACAGAAAACTGCTAGACTAAAATTTCGAGTCACAGACTCAGCTGAATCGAAGGTAGAACAAATTTTTGGGGTCACAAATTGTTTTAGCAACAATGACTCACTAGAACTCGGTCTGACACAACATTGGGTAGAACAAAAGATCGCACGAGAAATTCGCTAGAATAGTGGCGATAAGCCATACTGCATCACACACACACACACACAAAGTTCACTTGTAAAGGAAAAGAGTTGACTGAAAAGGAGTTGGATCACTTGGCAACCACGTGGACCAACAAATGCGCAGCCGATCATCGACTGACCGTAGTGGGTGCATTTGAAACCGAAGAGACAACCCCACCCAGTAGACAACAATCGGCCCTGTGAAGCGGTGAAGGGAGGAAAACAAGGAGTCAGAGGAACCAGTACCTTTGAGAGCAAAAACCAAGCTCAATCGGTAGTAGCCGCTGGGATCAACCAGGGGCATTTGCCTTCGGTTGGAAGCAGTGATTGAATAGTTTCAACCAAGTAGGTGTCAGATTTGAGTGGCGTTCTAACCACCAGTAGTTCAAATGGCATCACGAAGGGGAGACTTTTTCGCTAAGACATAAAAACTGGCTAAAAAAGTGTTATTTTAGGGACTTTTTGCAAGATAAAAGGATGCTCCAAGTAACAGCATGAAGTGGAGCTTTCAAACTTGCAAGATGAGAGATATGGGATGGCTGGAGATTCAATTAGCTCCAGCAAGGCGAAATTCACATGTGATCAAACGAGTGAGTAAAAGCCTGGGAGTATCCAAGCTTGAAGAAAGAAAAGGCTGACCTAGTGACAGGGGCTGTTTCCAAGGTAGTAGCTTATACTCAAAAATTTGGGAATAAGAGGTACAAACGTCCCCGAAGTTTCCGTGCACGACGGGTAAACAAACCGTTCTTGGAATTGAAAAATAAGAGCAAGGCGCTTGCAGGTGAAGTAAATCCTCGCTGAAAATGTCCGCGTCAATTGTTTCAGGGAGAGAAAAACAAAAAACAAGCAACTGGATTTATCAAAGGGAGAAATTCATGTTGTGTTCAGGCCTTCTGTTACAATTAAATCGAGTTCACCAAGGTCCACATTTCAACACAGGCATAAGCTGGTGAGGAGCTTCCACAGTCCAGCCGGACCACTCATTCCAACGGATCAAAATGCAGTCTCTACGAGGATTAAGTGGAAAGAGCAGTGAAAACATAAAGACGCATGAATAACCTGGTCGGTGGGCTTACCGAAGAAAAATCCACAATTCAAAAGACACTCGAAATGCCATTTACCAATCCCTGGGACGTTGAAACTTGTGAAGTCGGCAAAAAGATGTGTGGGAATGTGATTCGCATTATCATTACACAGAGAATTTACCCCTTGAAAGAACATTTGCTCAGGAAATTCTACGCTTTGAAATGACCAATTTAATCGAGTGCTTTGAGGCTGGTAAAAACAACTCGTGGGAGAAAGAAGTAAAGAATACCACCAAAAGGGAATTTGGCGCTTTCAAACATTACCATGAAACTCTTCCCTTTGAACTCACAACCAAGCCAGTCAGCCATCAGTATAGGAGCTTCAAGCCCTAGAACAAGCTTCTGAAACCCTTAAATCGCATCCTGAAAAATGATACTACTTGGAACCCCCCATTTCCCCTCCTTCAGCCACTGGGAGCACGGATACAAAACGAAAAACAGCAGATTTTGCGATATCATTCAATACTGAATCACTAGCGATCACAGGAATTAAGAAATTGAAAACGTTTCGTTTTAACCAAGAGCTCAAACAAGTTTCAAACTGAGTAGTGCTGCAAATTTCATCGAAACTTTTTAGCTTAAGTAACTAAATCCGAAGTCCAAATTCGGAGCAAGTCACCGAAAACGAGGCCTTTTTTATGCCCTCCTTCCCACCAATCAGCCTTACCTCACAAAAAAAGCAAAGAAACAAGGAGTGAAATCAAACTCAAACAGCCGTCTTGATGGTTAAAGTTTACCCCTTAACCAAATTGCCAAGATGGTTTGACATGGGCAACCGCTGGAATTTGTAGTGAAAAGGCCACTTGAATCAGCACTCCCGTAATCACAAAGCTGGGTTTGAGAGTCAAAAAAGTGGCTTAGGGAGAAATTTAAGTACTACCACGAAAAATCTTGGCGATTAAGTCAGGCAAATTGGCATATAGGGTAGTCGTACGGATCAACTTCTTTTTCCACAAAGTACGAATCTCTTGAACAACACAGCACGTAACCTCGTTTACTCAACGCTCATGGGACGAAATCGTGCTGTAGAGATAGGATCTACCCAAACACGAAAAATAAGCCAGCTCCAAGAGGGAGTTGTCAAACGAGGACACAACCGACGCCCTGCTTCCCTCCTCCCCCCACCCCCTACCGGGCTTGTGAAAATCAATAGCACGGCGCGCATGGGTGTGAATCATTTGTCACTGTGTTTACCCCACCACCCCGTCTTTCACTTTTCGAGCGACGGGAGTGCGTGTGCTTGTTTGTGCGTGCCAGTGAGTGAATTAGTCATAGGGGCTGGCCTACAAAGCACGTGCGTGCCTGCCAATGACTCGTTCGGTGATTGGTCACCTCGGCTTTTTGATTCGACAACGAAGTCTGAAAGATAGAGCGGACACCACGCCAAAGTGGACGAGGGCCCGCCTCAGTGAATGAATGGGGCAGATTCTTGGGGTCGCAGAAACCGCTAAAGTGGATTGAGCAGTCAATACGCTACGGAGAATCGGAAAGTATGGGTGCTTGAAAGTGAACAACATTTCCCCAGTGATACAAACTATGTCTGTGAGTCCTTCTGCGAGTTTTAACAGTTATGGAAAGTGGAGCAGTCCAACAATTACACGGAGCAAGTACTCAACGTAACCAAATGAATTTTCGCATGGTAAGAAAGCGGTTGTTCTGAGACGGCCTTGATCGGCCAAAAGACGGCAAAAGTCGACCTAAGCCGAACTGCAAATAATGAAGAGGTAGAGTCCCCTACTTGGCCAAAAAACAAAGCACAAATGAAGGCCCTGGAATCGCACTCAACCAATGCGACAAAGTAATTGAGAGTTGAGAAATCCGCTGATAGGAGGGGGCTTAGCGAAAGTAGCTTTCGATTCAGTCGAGCTGTCTGGCAAGGACGAACCAAAGCCTCCGACCAATGAAATTCCAGGAGCTAAAAGATGACCAGTGCCGGCTACCATTACCTGAGAGAGCCTTCGATGGCTATCTATGACATCGACAGGAAAGGTTAATAGAGACTTCTCAGGCTATTAACAACTTTGCGCATTTTACTAGTAAGTGAGTCAAATCCGGTACATTACCATTACCTCAACAACAAGACGATCGATCAGTTCATAGGTAACGCAAAGTCAAACACCCAGTGGTTAAGGTGGAATGCGCCTTAATTCCAGCGAATCTATCAATTATAAAAACCGGTTTCAAGGCGTGGACCTTCAGCTAGTGCAATCACTGACTCGATCGACTAATTTTGAAACAAAAGGTGTAGCTCTTAACCGTTTATCGACTCACGGTTATAAAGGAAAAGGGGGGCCCATAATCTCCAGATTCCTATCGGTTCCTAAACAACGAAAGTCCAGTTGGTTCAGAAACTAAGGAAGCACAACAACCAAATTCCATGTTGATAAAAAGAAATTAAGGAGATTAGAGTCGGGGCTAATCCATCCTTTCCAAAGGTATACAATGCAGCTTTGAGGTACCCGACAAACTAAGCATGCCCAGAGCATTGGGAAGAAACTTATACTCAGTAGCGCCAGATTACGAAAGAGTTCAGCAAAGCAGTGTTTGCATCTTGAAAAAAAAAAAAAACAAGACTAAGAAGGGAGCTATTTTAGCCTGGTTTCCCAAAAAGTCAAGAATTGAACGGCTCAAATGCTTTAATTTGAAGGATCAAAAGGGAGCAAAACTGTACGAACAAAGGCTCTGAGAAGTTCCTACATCATTAGGAATTGAATCATAAGAACGAAATAAACTCAGGGTTTGGCTGCACAAAACTTCCAACTTCCTCAATGAGACAAGCCAGCTACAGATGGTGGAAAATGCATTCCGTGGGGTCTAGACAAATCAAGCAGTTAAAGGCACGCTAATCGCAAAAAAGCCTCAAGAATCTACGCCTAAGATAATATTGGTGGATTAGCAACGCGTGGACAGCCAGCCTCAGTTTCTAAGCCCTCGATGACGAGTCGGTGACCTGGCCGACATGATGGGCAGAGGTGAGCGGAGGAAAGCCGGACTTTTATTGAGCACTTATGTGGCCTACCCACATTGACCTTACCCTCATCCGCAAATCAGGACAAAGCGAATAGTCGCCTTCATGCATGACAAATCACAACTGTCCTTGAACTCGCTTCATTGACTTGACGATCATAATCGATCAGGGGAGTCACACAGATCGCAGCCAACATATGATGAGTTCACGTGCTCAAAATGTGACGCATAGTTAGAAAATTAGCCAGGCAGCAGCGTTTCTGGTTAAATCAAATAAAAAGTATTTGGATTTGAGTTAATTCATTGAAAGGGGTAGCCAAAATGCTAATGTAGGGAGGGGGACAACTCTGGAACCTCAATCAAGGGGAATAAAATCACGAGAGCAAATTATCCTTTACTGAAATGAAATAAGTAGACGGTCGCCATATGTCGCAAAAGAGGTCGAAAGGTTACGCCAACTCAGCTCTACGACTAATGAATTCAACAGGCATTAACACCACAAAATCATTCTCACCTTCACTTTCCTCACCAAAAAAGGCCAAAGTAGTTTTGCAAAAGTGAAGAGAGACAAGTAGATGAGAGGGTAGTTTGAGAACAACAGTATTGATTATTTTCTCGCCGGCAATTAAACTAAAACACAATTTTATTACACTTTTTGACAGGCGGTAATAAAACCGACTTAAACCTCACAGGTTGACTCACCCCAAGTTCCAAAACCCCGGTTTACGCGATCGATTTTCTTCGCCCTTAATGTGAGGCGTAGACAGCAGCTCAAGTATCGACTTCCTTATCGATCGAACCGCGAGAATTTTGAGACCGACGGAAGCCTCTTGATCAATAATGCATGCCTGGGGTAGGAATTTACATCTCTACCCCTCAACACGAAGAGCAAGCATGCCTTGCTCAAACGATCGATATTTGAACTCGCTTGAGTTCACGACCGAAATAGAGGCGCCAAGTCGAAATGCATGGCGCAGTGACCTAACAGATCGATGACAGATGCGCGAGGGCCCATTTGCAGGATGAGGTTAGAATGAGGACGCTTTGGGGATCACTAATCCATTGCGTGTGCATGCGCGCGCGAGATGTGGTTTTTCAAAAAGCCCAACACAAACACACGTCTGAACAATGTGTGTACACATTAGCACGCGAGAATGAATGAAACTGAGCGAATCGATAATTACTAAGAGGGCACACAAAATGCAGCTGCCAAGTTGTTTTCGCGCGTTATACAAACCACACACATATAAGGCATGCGCACTAGCGCAAACAACAATCAATGCGAGGCCAATTGACCAGTCACACAAACGCGCTTACATACGTACGCACGTACGCACACACTAGCACGTCCGCACGCGCTTGTTCCGGGTATACATCGATTTTTCCAGTAAGCGCACGCGCGCACTTTAGTTGGCTCGCGCATGAAAATACGCACACGTCTATTATTGATCGATCTTTGATGTGCACGCACGCGCGCGCGCACGAGCGAACGACGCAAGAGAGCGCACGTCTATGTGCGCATGCCTGAATGAATGATTAGGCACGCGCGCTCAGGCACGACTGAGGGGAGACACGTGCGCACCACTGACACCTCGCACACGCACGCGCGCGAACAGACATCATTATTGATCATCGATTAGAATGCCAGCGAGAAATAGACGCTAGTTAGCGAGGCGCGGTGGTAGAGACGCTAGGCTGCTAATATGGGAACGCCTCGTGCCTTTGCAATTGGCAGCAATGTGACTACTACGGCTAATCAATAATGAGACCACTAGGCATCGCCACCTCGATTGCTCTATTTGTCATGCTGGGTGTGCGCAGTGTACCGGCGCGTCCAGTGTATGCGCGCTTGCCACGAAAACAGAGTAGTGGAGAGAGAGGGAGAAAAATCGATTTTAATCATGCATGGCAGTGCGACATCCGTAGTCGCATTATCGACCGAAATGCGTCACAGGCTTAATATCGATTATTTAAAGCTCACACAACCGCAACTTTATTGACTGAAGTCGTAGCATTTGAAGAGAGTCATCATGCAGCCCTTCCGCAGATCACGCAAGCTGAATGCGACCGCTTTTTTGCCTCGAAGACAGCGCAGGCCGAGGCGATCGATACAGTCGATGGGGCGGCGGGACAATCGCACTGGCGTGACGAGGACATTTAAATGGCTTCAAAATTGGACCATCTCCCTCCCCCCCCCCCTCCCTTACCGTGTTCTCCCCCTTACTACCATCATTTTGTCTCCAGCCTCTCGTATGGCAGATGTCATGACTCATACCGCGAGAAGCAGTTTAGCCAATCGGACATCGATAATGGAGAGCTGCTCATTGTTTGGACGAGGGTACATTTAAAAGGCTAGTCAGAGGGTTGGTTGGATAAAAATAATATTTTACTTGCGCTGGAAGCCTGGAAATAGCGGAACTGACATCGGTCAATGCTCAAATGCTCAAGGGGGCATCCGCGTTCTCAAGCTAGTACATCAAGTCCAAAAAATTAGATGCAAGAGAGGTATTAAGCAGTTGCGGTCCTGCATATAGCGCTACTGACCAGAGGGGGTTTTGCAGGAGGTTAAAATACTTGGATAGTGTTGAGATGAAGACGCTGCAGCGTATACCATGCAACAGTAACCTCGATGCATAAGTTGCTCACCCTCAAGCAGCGTGCAGAGGTACCGAGCTACATGACCGGGTTTTGGTGGAATTAAGGCCGAAGAAGCCGAATAAGCGAGTCTTAACTCAAATACGCGAAAAAAATTTAAGAGTCACGCTCCGATGCATGTAAAATCGTGACTTTACTTGGGTAGATCTGGTGTTTAAAGGCGCTGAATGCCTTGCCTGAAGCGATAAGAACTTTGGGGAGACAATGAGCTAAGGAACGGGAGAGCAAGGCATTTGATGAGCATGGCGTAAATGAAGAAAAGCAAATGACAAAAATGAAGCGCATTTATCACATGAAAGGGAACCAATAGTTGAGAAGAGTGAGCAAAATAACGGTAATTAATCAAGACTAGCCGCGACAAACATCAAAGATGGATTATCATGTATGTCTGCAGGATGTGCAAACAATACCTGATTATTCAAAGTTTAGCAATCAGGTGCTAGGCAGAATTTAAACGATGCGCTTTTATGCACGTGATTGTCAAATTCGATGCACTTGTCCATAAAAACCCAAATCAATTTTGGATTTAACATTAGAAAAGGGAACTGAGTAACACCTAAGAAATACCTTAGGATTAAGGGCTGTGTGAAACACCAATCTAAACGAGTAAGCCAGACCCAGCGAGAAGGTGGATTTAACTTTGGCGAAAAAAGAAAAAGGGCGCTGACAATTAAGAACTGAACAAAATACTCACGTGGACGTCCAGGTACCTTCAAATAGATGAGTCTAAAAAGAAAGAACGTTATTTCAAAAAGAAAGACAGCTGCAATCATATGAAAAGAAAAAGAATGGAAAAAACGACAAATTTATCTACAATGACTAGAAGCGCAGGCATTGGTGACACATGAAGGGGGATTGTAAGTAGCCACGAAAGCGAAGTAGCGTAAAGCTACTGATCGACAAGAGAAGAATGTGAGCAAACTGAAAAACACTAATATATCCACATCGTAATTTTACTTGACATACACAAGGGGAAAAAGGAAGAAGCCAGTTTTGATCACGTGACGGGCGTAAACTCGACTAATATCAACAACGTGCATGAATGTAGTCGACAAAGGAATGGCTCGAAGAACAGCGAGAAGTAAAGGAAAAGGATACCTTTTGCAGTTATTGATGAGGAGGAAATTGAGAGCACACAAAAGACCAAACTTGCACAGGAACCTCTCAACCGGTCACGAAATCATATACACAGAAAGCTCTAACTCGGCGGTTACTCACCAAAAGGCATTAAACAAATTTCAAGGTTACAAATATCTTTTTTTAATGACTTTATTAAAATATTATAGCAAAACAAGTTTTGCAGCTATATGAATGTAAATGATTCAACAATGCACTAAGGTAGGGGCTATGTTAGCATTTGCACCGCTTACAGACACCAATCCTTTTAAGACGCTTGGAATTGAGGCAATTATGTGGAACTGCAAAATCACATGCTTAAAACTAATAAAATTGCAATTTTTTTATTTAAAACTGTTTTATCATGCATGGCTTGTTACACATTTAGCCATCTTACAGGAGTTAGGCGCTTATAATTGATCGTGAGGCAGCCAGGTCCTGCAGATAAAGATAAACTCAAAAGTTGTTCCGTTTAAAAGCAGAACCAAATAAACACAAATAATAAACGTTACTAAAAGTTAAATCTCAGCAATCCCAGTAGTAGCGAAAACTAGTGTGACATCCTGAGTCCTCCCTGAAGACGAAAGAAGACAATACTTGGACGGAATATGCATATGAGCTACAGAGGAGGTTTCACAACTACCTGCATAGCTTAAAGGTTAGTCAACTTGTCGTGGTACAACAATTGAGCTAGAAGTGGATCTTCACTAAAATCGATGGATAAATAACTATAGCATTGGATAACGCCTTACCTCTTTTGAGCGTCGCTCCCGGGCGCTATCCATGATCAACCTCCAGCGTCAGCCACCACAATATAGTCGGCGCTGTAAGAAAACACCCTTAATTTGGCCATGCCAGTCATCAAATTGCCATGCGACTGAGGAGATAATTGACCGCAACGTCACCGTCCCCTCTTAGTAACTTAGCTGTATCTAAAGTCTAGGAAATGGATTCAGGAACGAGAAATTGTGCTAGCTACTACATGAGTTTATAGATGAAAGTAAGAACATTGGCCCAAAAGTAGATCTGTGTAGGGGAAAATGAGATTTACCACAAAACTGTGGGGAAATGTTTCGCGTCTGTTCCTCCCTGTCGCGCTGTTCAGACTTCGGGTCTGCTCGGCTATATCTATTGCACTCTGTTCGGCTAGTAAGAAAATAAAAAGGTACCGTAAAGTCATGTTATTAACAGATTTTTACAGGTACCTTAGGAAAAGTCTGTGACAAAACTCTCAGATAGTTCACGGCTATTGTCACTACAATCGTTAACAGCTTTTCTGTAGAACACGGGACTGGGATGGATGTTAGTAGGATACGCCAATTTTGGATCTTTTGTTCAGAGCCATCATATTCTTTTATCCGTAGCACGCGCGCTTCTTTCGCCCAGCTAAGTTTTATCACCCAGCAGTGAGAATCGGACGACATGTCCCTGAGGATCGGGTTTGCTCTCCACTGCCACCAATGTAGCGTGGTGTAGTGGGCAAGTCAATGGTGGCTCCTCACCAAGACCGACAGATAACTATCTGTCTATCTAAAAAATTAAGGTAAAAAGGGAAAAATACTGCAAAATCCCACTAAGCAGTAACAGCTTGAGCAGAAGATACTGCTACAAACTACACAAGGACTAAATAGGAGCATTTTAAGTGTCATTTCATTCTTCAGTACTGCAAAGTAGTGATAGCAGTTACGATTTTCAAAAGCTTTTAGCAAGCACTAACCTACAGAATTGGGTTTCAAAAAATACGTGATATTTTGTTCATTAATTAGGTTGTAATATGCCCCATTTAGCTAAGTTTAGGTAGATTTACGAGGTCTGAACAGTTTTTAGAAAAATGGTAATATACATGCGATTTAATGGTGCTTTCATTCGCTATTTTGTTAACAGAGCCAGTAAGGTTCCTCGTCATTGTAGTTTCTCTGGTTGCACTATTCTTCGGGCCATCTTAGCAACCCCAAATGCTTGCTCATGTAAATATATACGTATCCTGCCTAGATGCTGTGCCTTGCCTAGTCTTTAGGAAAGTCTTAAGAGGCCACAAATACGAAATTTTGTAATACTATGAGAAACAAGTATTGTTGCTGTACAGGTGTTTCCATTTTCATTTTTAAAATATTAATTAGGTACTTTGACAGCAAGTTTGGGTCACTGCTTTTTTAATCTTTCATTAGATTTAGATGTGTTTATTTTAATCACTTCTATGACCTACGCCTAAACGAGAGTTTTTAAAATCTGCTGACCCGGGTCAGGTGGTGTGAATGGGAGGTTATTAACTATGAGCTCAGAAACGGAACACTCTGGACACGCAACCAAGAGTATTCTTAAGCCAAAGCATGAGCTTAACAGTAGGTTTTTTATTTAGTCTGCTTTGATCAAACGTTTTTTGTTTAATGTTGCACAAATTTTCGTGGTTTTAACTTGTATTTACAACGGCTGCCTTTGAACTATGTATTGCCACAGGCATTAATGCCTACAGCTTATGCATTCTAGTGCGATTATTCTGTTCTTTTATCTCTACTGTCTAATAATGAGGGTCTGGCAACTTTAAGGTTTTGTGTCCATGGTTTTTTTCCAGCGTTCTGTTTGCTCATAAGTTGACATGATGTCTTTATTCTATGTTAGCACCACGACATTTAATTATTTGTGTCACTTCCTTTACACTCTAAGTGGAACAGTTATAAAAATACAAACGCATTAGCAAAATTAAATTTGTGATTACTTTGTGTAGAGTAGTGACGACAAATAACTGATTCTTATTTCTTACTTGGTCTTTATTGACAATTTAAAACCAACTGCTTTTAATACACAAAAGTGCAAGCAAAATAAATTGAGTTTTGGCTTTCTTTGAGTCAAGTGGGGTCACCCTTTTTTAAGGCAAAGTTTTTACGAAGTCCAAATAGATAAAGTGCCTTTTTAAACAACAGCTTTTAATCAGTTTCGTTTTGAATTTAGAACACTTTTGCCTGCCATCATAGCTGAAATAAAACACTTCTTTCTTTTACAACTCTGTCTAGACACGTACTGTGTAAGTCGTTAATCACGTAAGGTGGGTTTTTACAACCACGATACAGAATTTAGTTCCTACTATTTTTAATGGGTTGAAAGTCCTATTTTTTTTCTTTGAATTTGCTTCATCGTAATGAAGCACAAACCATCACGCGATGAGCGCACATAGAGGAGTGTCCAAGTTTAATAATGGGGAGGGCTAACATATTATAGTGGGACGGAAAAAATTTGTTATTGGTGTCCAGCTTCGCCATTTAATCTGATTAACATGCGTTTTTTCCTTTTGCATAGATGGCTCTACTAGCCGAAGGAAAAACTTAAATGAGTGAATAGACAAACCCAAAAACTGCCTTTCTTGTTTAGCTTTGTTTGAAGAAAATGAACCTTCAAGTCACTCTGTTTGTTTGTTAATCTTTTGGCTTGAAGTAGTCAAAGAGAGCTTAATCCTTGCACTTCACAGTAAATGGAATCTTTTGCATGCCCATGTGTGAGGAATTTTCACATTTTTTAATATTTTTTTTCCCTTGACAAGTGGCTAACAAAACATAAAACACTTTTTTTACACAGAGAGGAAGCAGTGACACAGCGTTTATGATCAACAAATACACTAACGTCAACCCTTTGTGTCCAAATAAGAGGTTTACAGATCAACAGATTTACCACCGTCAAGTTGAAGCTAATTTGCAACACTGTTTCTTATTACTTACCCTAGAGCAGCAGGAGAAGGCATGAGGAAAGATGTTATCGTGCGAAGCAACACTTACTTACTTACCACCCTTCCCTTACTTGCAATTAGAGAAAAGGAAGCTGCTTATTTTTGGCTAGGTCTTACAAATAAGGACGGAGGAGGAGGAAGAGGCAAAAGTCGCTGAGGCGGGGCATAAACTCCTTGGCTATTGCGTCTAGAAACACTGACTCAGCACCTCAACGTGAATTAAGTGTCCCAATTCAGAAGAAGTCGACCTCCCCTGGTGCTTGGAATCCTCCTTAGGACAAAAATACTGAGGCTGTAATTGGGATTGACAAAAGTGTAATGCCCTGGAGCTCTTCCTTAGGGCAAAAACCATTGAATGGCCATAAGTAGAGCCAAAGAGAGAGATAGTTTGTCCATAGCTCTGAACCCGTATAAATTCCGTATTTATCACGTAGGGATAAAAGATCAGGCTTTTATTACCAGCCATCATGAGCGGAGGGATTAACATCAACAGTGTGGTGAAGCTAAAACGGATCAGGTAATCACGGAGGACAGCTTCTGCTGTAACTACTTCCACCTCAGCATGCTCTCAACTTAAGGCCCCAGGATGATGTGTGGTTAATTTGTAGGATTAAAATCACCTTTAATAAGGAGCGATTTCTCCTCCTAGCCCACCATACAGTTTGTCAAATTTTTGAGAAGTATTTGGAGCACTACTTTGACCTCTTAAAAAAACAAAGGATTAAAGCCTTCAAATTCATTAAATGAGTCACCATAGTGAAATTTTGATGGAGTGACATCACTGGCATCAAATGAAGTGACTGACAAGGCATATACCACCACGCGGATCTGTCAAATCTCCCGCGATTCGTCGTCCCCTTTCCGAATGTGGCGCTTTGTTAGCAGTTCGCCAGCCCCCTTCCATGGTACTGGTAGAGTTCTTTCCACACCCGTAGGTCTTTCGGAAGAACTTAAGTGTTACAAAGGCATGCTAGAGGCCGCCCACCATCTGCTATTCTTCAAGTAACACAGGAATCGTTACGTTCTCCATTGTTCCCACTCGAAAGCAGGAAAAAGTTATTTTTATAGTTCTGCAGGCCGACTTTTTCACCAAATCACCTGAAAAAAAATACATAATTTTAAATCAATATCTTCAGTCTTGTAGAAAATGGAGGATTTGTAAACCCAACGGGACAGTAAATTCGGTAAGTTGGTTCCCAAGGCACAAGTAGAAGTTCATCAGTACCGCCACGGCGAGTTAATCCTACCATAAGAAGACCTTAACTAACGTAAATTTTAGTCCACGTCACTTCACAAATCATGCACAAAAGTTCGCCTTGTTTTAAATAAACTTCCTCCTTGTCACTCACCCCTCTTTTCTATATAACAGCATTGTCCTGGAGGCAGCATTGCTGCCAAGCCCACGGGGCGGATTACAGGCATCCGTCCCTTCTCCTCTTCCTATCTACAAGGTTCTTCCATCTTCCAATTCACCATTTTCTTGTTTAAATATGAATAATTGCAAAAGTTTAACTAGTTATTTCGCATCCAGTGTAGATAGATGTTTACCCGCGGCCTGCGAAACGGCCAGCTGGCTTCCGGTTCAGTGGATTTAATGCATCCCTCACCGTTTCCGTTGAGTTGAATTTTTTCCACCCCAATTTTGACTGCTTTTAAATTTTAAAAGGACTTATTGACGATTTTATTGCCTGAAAATCTTAAATTTTTTCCCCGTTTGATGGCTAGCTAGGTGGGAGCCTTCGATTTAAAGCGCCATTGCCCCACAAAATTGGAACGAAAGATACTTTTTGCATGGAATAGTTAAGTTTGGCACTTTTTAAACTTTCTCAAATTACTAGGTAAGCGAAAGGCAACAGCGTAGTGCCTTTCTACCGAAAGAGCCAAAAAATCCATGAAATGTGGATTTACCGTTGGTAGTCAAAATTCACGGGATTATTTTTCAACAACAACTATCATATTATCATCTTGACAGGATATGCTTTTGTTTTCAGTCAGACTGTCTTTCTTTTTTGTTCACCAACTTGATCACAAGATCTTTTTTTATTAGACAAGTTCGTTTCCCCTAGGAGGCATTAAAAATAGCGCTTGTTTTCTGCCAACAAATTACGCATTTGTTTATCTGAAGCAGTCCTCCACTCGCACATATATACGGACATACAAGATCAAGCGGGTGGCAATTTTGGTAGAATTTTCTCCTTCTGTACCTCCCATTCCATGCCTTGTTCGGCGCTAAATTACTGCAGAAGTGAATAAAAGTCGGCCAAGTAAACAAAGAACGGACGGACCAATAAAATTGCGCCACTTTGTTGACTGCAGCGCATGTAGCTGCGTTGATTGATGAGGTGTTCCCTCAACTGTGACAATTTTTGATCTGAGCGGCCTCTTTCTCGCTTTCTTGCTGGGGTTAATAAACCACGCATTTTAATGTAACCCAGTATTACTCCCGCATGGGGCGAAACGACACATCCAGGTGGGCCGGAAGGAGGAAGGGATTTTATGAGCTTCACGTTATGTAACGCTTGGAGGTACTCTCACCGTGCAAATTTTTTTCACACCCTATTCTCTAACAGTTTGCACAGGTCATAAAAAGCGGAAAAGGGGATTGAATTCCTTTTTCGTCTCAGAATTTTGCTTATTGTCACCTTCCTTGACCAAATGGCACGCCTAGTTTGGTCTCGAGGCTGAAAGAAAAAAGTAAAGTGTGAGAATAAAAACATTTTTTACTGGACACTCAGCCTTTTCTCTACTTTGACTGAGCCCTTTAATGCTCCTCGTTTCGTAAGTTTGGCTTTTGCAGTTGGCAGGAGAGGAAAATCCATTAGAATGACGCAAATGCAATTTAGATGGAAACGAACGTCTTTCGTTTGAATAAACTTTAAATTTAGAAAATAAATTAGTATGTTTTTAGGTATTCCATCAACTGAGAAGGATGTTGAAATTCGTCAGCATCATCTCCACCTCCCTTGTTTTCCAGCTAAATGCTAATTTTTCGATCCCGATTCTACCAGAATAGGAGGAGGAGACGGAGGGGGATGAACATTTGCTAGAATAAAAACGGAGATATTATTAATCCTTAAAGTTGCTTTTTCGCTGACAATAAAGTTGGCCGAGTCAGAGTGGGCGTATTGCGGTGAAATAGAACTGCCAACTTTTTTTCCGGAGTTAAGCGCTCAACCAATTAAAAACTTAAATTTTTCGACAATTTCTAAGTGCTGTTCATTCTTTCTCTGAAAAAAAAAGAATTGCTGCAAAACCTTTGTTTTTTGGTACTTTTTTCTTTAGTGAATCTCGGTGCGTACAATCTCTACACCAAACGGGCCAGTTTTAAAGACGACGGTGTGCTTCAACAATTCGTCACGGAAATGGCTGGTCAACCAATTATCTCGCCTCCTGTTCTGGAACAGGTAGGTCAAAAACAAACGATGGCTTTTTTGTTTTCTATTTCCTACTTTTCAAACGATGAAATGTCTCCAAGCTTTGAGTAGTTCCAGTCAGATGTTTGCGAGGGATGAAGGCAATCCACTAACATTAATCGCACCTCACAGAGCAGAACGATGAACATAACCTCTTTGATACTCTAAAAACTTGCTGGAAAATGGGCGCAATTAGTTGTCTGGCAAAGGCCAGTGGCCAGGGGTCAAGTTTCTCCACATTTAAGTCGGAGATCAGGTCTCCCACGGGGTTGCCTCATTTCAGATTCAGCAATGCTCACTAAAATGGAACCTGTCACTCAAACCGCTAACCAACGTATTAACTATTCACTTATTTTCTGCTTCAAATTCCTGCCTGTTAACATTCTCAGGCAGTGTCTGTTTGGTTACAGTGATGTCACGAGAGAATGAAATCTGCAAAAACGCTTTATGTTGCGTTACAAAGACGCCAAATTCACATGGTACGGGAAGCAAAAAGTCCGCTATTAAGTGTCAGTTTGTTTCCATGGTAAATGCAATCACCTGCCTGTTATTTTCCCATGAATGTAAGGCCATTATGCTCCGTTGCGCGACCGTTTTTTTGCCTCCGGGCATAACAAAAATGTCGATGGATGTCGTGGCTGAAAAGCATAAAAAAGTGTAATTTTAGCCTGAATGAGTCGCCTCTACTGTTGCGTGACAGTATGATAGGCGCTGTTCCCTTTTTATGGTGGAGAAGAAAATTCAGCGATTTAATAAATTTGACAAAAATGGGAGTAATTACTCCGCCATAAGGAAAGCAGTAGTTTGACGTTGTCAAAAGTCCCATTCCAAGGGTGTAATTTCACTGTCAATATCTTGGGGTTGTCATTGCTAAAAGATGAAGTGTTCCATTTCGTCTGTGATTTGATAAACTGAGTAAACCCTCTACAGGTCCATGGCCATACATAAAGGTCGATACTTCGTATCCCTCTTTTCGGTTTTACCTGTAAGGCAGGAATTATTTATGAGACGAACTTCTCTTGCATGCCACCTAGCTCTCCTACAGAAGGCCTCTCGGTCGAAAGGGGGGGGGGGGTGATTCCTATAATGTTTTATTCATTCCGCCGTAGGTGCTGAGCACAGCAGAATTTTTATTCCCTCCATAATCTCTGCTATTCATAGAAGACAATTTTAAGATTGGAGCTGAGTTGGAATATCATTAGCCTTTTTTTGTCAGACTAACTTATTTACTTAAAAGTTTAAGATACTTTGGAGCCTTGAAGCCTCTCCTTACAAAGCCACACCATTATGGTGGGAGATTGATTAACTTACAGGGGAGCAGGAGAGGTTGTAGGACTGACTGTGATAAGCAGACGTACAAGGTGAGGAGACTGAAAGTAGGCAGCCTACAAAATAACGCATGGTTGAGGAGAGATTTGCTTGGATAAGTACCACCTAAAGCGGCGTCAAGTTCTACAAGGCGCGTGCGCGTTCAGTGTCAATCGCTTCTCTCGTGGACACACGCTTCAAGAGCGAAATGCATTCTGGGTAATGCCTAAGACCAAGCAGTATCTCAGGCTTGAGTCCTCTTTGTTGTCCCACCTTTACACTCTCTCCACTGTTTTCACGTCAGTGTAGTGGATGTGTTGGGATCATTCACATCAAATGCCTTCTTTCTACCAGTTGAGGCATCGTAGTGAATCATCGAAAAGCGGAAATGACTTTCCTTTGGTCTAGGCTCTCCAATTCCGCCACCAATGCAGGTCTGACATTACACCCACGGATCTGGGAATTAGCGTCCAACAGAATCGAAGCGCTGGCAGCAGAGCTGGATGCCAGGAGCGAGGAGTTTAAAATCAGGAGGGAACGATGAAGCCACCGTGGTAGCATAAACGACTAAATTAAGTTAAAAAAGGTTGGAATAAGTGGGAAGATGCCTTCATTAGTGTCAAGTGGCTGAATCACCACTTGTACTTTTAAGCAGCACTTGCATTCATCCTTCTTCTCAATTTGCAAGCATTTAAAGTACACACCGCTTAGGCTTAAAAAAGGCGTTGCCAAGTTGTCAGAGTTGCCGTAAAATAACTATAAACTGCGAAGTTGCCCATCTTCAAGGAATTAGGGCATCAACGCGCAACAGAGACACAAGCCAGCGTACCGAGTCAGTACTGGCGGTACAGAGGCGAGGCGATGGCGTGACCCGAACCATTTAGCGGGCGAGTGACCGCGAGACATCAAATTATAAAAACAATTCTTTTTTCTACTGCAAGTCTTTTTACTTTTACGCATCAGCGTGATAATTTTTAGCCTGGGTCCCTTCGAAAGGAAAAATATGTTTTAAGTTAAATGTCAAGACAAGGCATGTGTAAACCTTCAACCGGCTGCACTGTTTGACAGCACCGTTCCACAGAGCAGGCACATCCCTCAAGCAGAAGGTTATCTTGTGTTTTTATGCCTATCGCTAAATGAAGTTGTGTTAAATGTAAATCAGAGGCAGTAAGGAGTGGGGTTAGCGTTCTCCGTTCCTCAGTCACCATCCCAACTACTTCAGTTGATTGTGAAACAAGCATCGTAAAGATAAGTGGAAAACCATCGATGCTGGAAAACCGTCGGCACAATCGCCTTCAGTGTATCTACACCATTCACCACCGACTATATCCCAGTTCATAGAACCAATGGTCTCGCAAACACCTCGCTGCTCCTCACCACTTGTGATTTTGATAATAACTAAGGTGAAATTTGTCTTCTAGGATGGACAATTTACAGTTGGTCACCTTCATTAGTCTCGAATCTTTTTGCTTCGTGCTCTTCACGCCTGATTCATAACACTTCCACAAATAGCATACTAACTGGTACTGTCGGAGTGTGCGTCATCCCACTTCACGTGTCAAGCAATGCATTCGAATACTGAGGCCTTTCTTGACTTCGATATGTGCGTGATTGTGGTTGCTCCTCGTCCAGAATGTGCCTCAGGACGGGCAAGAGGACGTGTAAACAGCGACAGGTCTCGCAAGCACAAAGGTAGCTAGGACATGACGACAGTGCACAATTAATTTAGGTTCCTGCATTGCATGTGTTTTGTGCACGGTCTAAATAAACTGGCTAGGACCCTTCAATGTAACCTCCCCGGTTCAATAGGTGCGCGTGCGTATGGAAGTGAGTGTGGATACGTGAAATGTGGATATGAATGCTTCTTGAAAGGTTGCTTTAATAGATGGGAGGATCGCACGGATCATAAGGACGGACGGTTGCATCGACATCACATCTGTTCAGCACATGAATGAGGACTTGTCTTTGAAATTACGTACCACTATTGTCGTTTTTACTGTCCCCATCATTTCGTAGATTGGATCTCGATATGCGCAAGTGCCCAAACTGTCATGAAGGACACAAATTAAAACAAATCGTTGTCACTTCAAGTCGTCGGTGGGGGCAGCGATGACAACATAAGAAATGTTTGGCATGATGATGACGACAAAATGTCTGTAAAGTGTTTTACACCTAGTAATGTGCGACAGCAGCTACTGGATGAGGAGCCAGTGAGGAGTACCTCCAAGTTTAGCTTCCTTTGACATCGCATTTGTGTCCCTCAATTTGACCGATTTTGATGGTTTAATTGGAAGCCACTTAAACTAATCACAATCTCGTTTTAACTCTAGCTTCATTCGCTGCTTCAATAGGGTCAGGAGACTTTTGGATGTTTAATACATGAAGTGGGAATACGGAAGATAAAGTGGAGTATATAAAGAGAAGATGGAAAGGAGTCCAGGTTGATGCATCATAGGGATAGACGAATGTGCGGATGGATGGATGTAGGGATAGGCGACAGTTGATTGAATGGAAAAGGATGCGATATTGGATAACAAGGCGACGTGTTCCTCTCGGAGGGCTCGATGCGCCTAACCGTAACGATTGTATAAGCAAGTTTGCTTACTGAATGTGTCCCTCTTGAAGCGTCAAACCACAAATCCTTCCGTATTGCTGCGCGAAAGCGGTCAATTTGTACCAACTTACTGCGCATCACCTTCAAGTGAGTGGAAAGGCGGAAGAAGCTGTGCTGATGCATGAGCCCGATTCCTGGAGCTGGACTTCCTAATAGACACATCCGCGTTCACTTCTAGAATCCATTTCTTTTTATCATACTCCATCTAGCCAAATCAAAAACATAAACTCGACAGAACATTCACGCCAAGGAGTCCAAATCCATTAAATTCTCAAAAGCGTCTAACTTACGCAAAGATGGAGAAGTGAGTGTTGCCAATCCATTCCTCTCGATTCAGCCATTGCTTCACGACTAGTCTGTCGTCCACCTTAAATGCTAGTATCCTCTGCCTTCTTGAGTTAAAGCATTCCTGTCTTCAATCTCAACATGAGATACCATTACTGCGGTTGCTCTTCCACCTTTCACTCCTTACCATGGCGCATTTCCTAGGATTTCTCTGTGAATGTAGCCCTTCTTCTGCCACATCGCTTGCAGTAAATGCCAACAAATCTCACCGTCGG